TGTTCCCGGGAAGGTGGGACTCGGCACCTGGGCGCCTTGAGCCCAGCGGCAGCCCCGTCCCCGGGGGCAGGCGCTCGCAGGCCAAGGGGACGGTGTCGGCCAGAGGGGCCGCCGCCTGCTGACCGGTCGCCCCCCCACACCCCCGGAGTCCGCCGGCCAGCGGTGGCCTGGGCCCAGCCCCCACTGCGTAAATCTCCACAGACGCAGGGCGGCTGCACACGCCTCCAGGCCGGCGGGGCAGCACCAGGCGCTCGCGGTCACCGCTGAGCTTTAAGAAACTGCAGCTTTTCCTCTCACTGACCTGGCTCCCAAATCAGGGCAGGGCCAGAACAGGGAGCCCGGCCGGGCGGGGGGGCCTCCCCACGGCACTGGATGTCATGCCGAACTTCAGACTATTATCTGCTCGGAAGGCCCCTCTGGAAAATGAAATAATCTTTTCTGTGTGTCATCCTCCATTTAGTAATCCAAAGTTACTAATTTTATCTTTTAAAAAAATAACTCAGTTCTTTTTTCTCATCTTTTCTTTTTTGCCTGTTTTTAATAAAAAATAAAGAAGTCTATCTACGGGAAAGCACTCCCTGGCTTTAGATGGGGTTAACAATTTTTAAGTACATTTGTCAACGGCATTGTTGTTTTCCAAAGTGCCACTCCGCAGCGAGATTAGTTGCCACCGTGCCCAGGGGGTCCCCTGGCCCTTCGATGGCCTGCCCCGCGTGCTGGGGGGCCGGGAAGCCTGAGGGGCAGCCTCCCAGGAAGGGCCTGGGACTTGCCCTTGCGTCCCCGCGCTGGGGCAGGCGCCCGGCTGCCAGCCCGCGCCCCCAGCCCCCTGTTGCTGCCGCGCCCCCCAGCTCCAGCAGAAAGTTTGGCTTTTGCTGCAGGAAGCAGCTGGGCGCAGCAACCGGCGCATGATAATGACCTCAGAAATCTGCTGTTCGCTCGGCAACAATAGGGTGCTCAGTCTACTGGAAAATTGTGTTCATCAGCTAACTCTGCTCAGTTACTAATTGACATTGCCAAATATTTTAAGAACAATTGGAATGCACGAGCAAAAAAAAAAAAAAAAAAAAAAATGAAGATCTTAATCCTCAAGACTTAAAATTTTTTCTTTTTTCTTTTTTTTTCTTTTTTGCTTTTCCCCTCTTCTTTTGGGGCCTGGACTTGTTTGTGTGGAATAGGCAGTGGGCAGGGAGGAGGAGCCACAGGAGAAAAAGAGGTAGAAAAGAAAGTCTATCATCTCCCTCTCCAGCCAACGCAGATCCAGGGAGCCCCGGACGCAGGCCGGCGAGGCCGTGTCGAAGGGCCTGCCCAGGACGGGACGCGGCGTGGCAGGGAGGTCGCTGAGCCCACACAGGGGGCCCCGCTGGGCTCCAGCCCAGCCGATCCAACGGCCCTTGTCCACCTCAAAACACTAGCCAGCAGCACGAGGGGTTAACGACATATTCATCTCTGCGCCTCTCCCTGGCTCTCCCTCGCTCAAGGGGCCTAGCGGCCTCATTTAACGAACAAGAGGGTCAAGGCCCGCGTTACCCTGGCCGCCGCCCACGCGTGAATGAGCCCCTCCCCAAAACGACAGGCTGCAAACGGGAGCTGCCCTGTTGGATGTGGTGAGCAGTACTGCTTCTTAGTACATTAAGTTTTAATTATTCTGAGTGTGATTTCCAAAGCCAAACCCAAAGACACGGGCGTTAGGTCGTCGTCTGGCTTGGAGCGGCACTCGGACCCCAGCAAGCACGGGCTCAGCGGAGGGGTTGGGGCGCCCTCGGCGGGCGGGCACGCCGGCCAGCAGCGAGGGGACATCAAAACAGCCACCCGCGCCTCCGGTGCCACCAGAGAGTAGAATTGAGAAGCTGCCACCTCCAAGTCACTTCCCTTTGCCTCGGACGCCGACCGGGGCGCGGAGCAATCGGTAAGTCGCACCATCAATGACAAAAACAGAGAGGAGAGACGGGCAGGGGTCTGCGCGACCGGTCTGGTCCATTTTTGGTGAGAAAATGCGATCCCTCCATTGTCAGAGGCCCTGGCTCTCGCAGCTGATCCGAAGCTCGGTTCTCAGCGGTTTGGAGAGCCCAAGAACAAACATATTTTCTGGTTCACTGCGATCATTCTCACATGTTCAGTGATTCAAACATTCTTCTGCTCACATAACAAACAGCTGCACCCGCATTAGCCTGGCCAGTGGCAGTGGCCCATCTCGGCAATAACTGTTTGATTGCAAACTTGACCCCTTCCTCGTCTCGGCCTGAGCGAGACTTTTTTACACAGCCGCTCCGCTCCCAATCCGCGCAAAGAATCACATCAGATAACAAAGACCGCCTCTCCACTCATTGTGAGGCTTCTTCTGGAGATCTGTTCTAAGAGGCTCTCGGTAAAAAGGGTTTTTATGATGAATTCAGAACTACTATCATGTTAAGAGCAGCGGTTTATAAAGAAGAATTCACTGGTTAAGATCGGAAAAAATAGTTTCTCAGGCCCTACTGACCCAGTTTTCAACAAGAAAAGAATCAAGTGATGGAAATGAAGTTCTGCAACATTGTTATGCAGTCTGAGAAATGTGTGGAGCCGTGGAGTGCAGTCATTTCTTAATAGACGCCTTAATAAGTGCTTCTTTCTTTCCTTAAAGGCTTAAAGGGGGTTTTTCTCCCCCTCCCCTTCACCTTGTGGGTTTCTCTCTAACAGGTAATCACAAAACACCTATTGTGCCACAACTTTTATTTAAATGCTTATTTGAGCCACACTTTGCCCAAGTCCTTGTTGGGAGTAAGAGGGAAGACTACGAAGCCGCCTGCGGTAAGGGCCCTGAGGCCAGGCGAGCCAGCCCGCCCGCCGCCGGGGGGGGGGGGGGGGGGCCGGGGGCAGGCCTGCCGAGCTCGCTCCTTGGCCAGAAAATTATGAAAGGGCCTCATCTGAATACGAAGAAAACAAAGAAGTCAACCAGAAGTGAAGGACCCCGCCTCTGCGCCTGTAAGTCGCCCAATGAGGGAAAGAAAAGCCAGGTGATAACCTCACTCAAGTGCGAGTCTCCTCCCAGTCCTCAGGCACGGTGGGTGCTGCTAGGTTTGTTTTTTTCTTTTTCTTTTCCTTTTTTCTCTCCAAGAGTATTTAGAGACATGGAAACAACAGAGAGGAATAGTACGAGGCTACCACTTGGCCAGAAGGTGAGAAAAACACGGGAACACGACAGAAATAGCACTGAGCATGTGGTGTTGGAATGTTCCGCGAGCCCACCGCGCGTCAGCAGGCTGGGACGGGGCTGGGAATCTGTCGGCGCACACGCCACCCACTCAGGGGGGCCGGGGCGCGCTCCGTGCTGCGTCTCCTGACGGCCCCCCACCCCAGAGCAGGGAGTCCGCAGTCCCCGGAACAGGGGGCCTCGTCACGGGAGGCCAGAAACAGCCCCCGGTGACAGGGGGACACCTGGCACCGTGCTGCCTCCGCCTGAGGCCTCTTGGCACCCGTTCCCGCCGCCCTCAGGCAGCGAGCTTGGAAAGCCATCCCGGGGCCACGTCTGCCGCAGGCGGTGGTCACCGCGCGGCCGGCCTCGCCCTCCCAGGCGCCCGCGGCCCCGCGCGGCTCCTCAGACTTCTCAGCGGAGATAAATCATGCCCGCGTCCAGCACTGCGGCGCAGACAGCGTGTTTCATGGGTATTTAAGCAGCAGCATTAAGTGCTATCGGAATCTCTGGAATGTGCAGCGCAGATTTATGTCTTAACCATTCTTTACTGGTCTGTAATAAGCCAGCAGGCTCCCGCTTTATTTTCGTACTAATTTTGCCCGAGAAGAAGACTCACACCAACGCACGACCGCAGCCGCAGGTCGAGGCCGGCCCCTACTCCGCACCTGCAGCCGTGAGCGGCCTCCCGCTCCGACAGAGCCGCCGCAGCCCCGAGGCGGGGCGAAGCCAGCGAAGGAGAGAGGAAACCTCTGCGGGGGACCCTCTACAGGGAGCCGCCACCTCTGTCACTGCGGGCCAGGCAGTCGGTGCCTTGAGGTGCCTCAAACTGTCCTTCATGGCTGAGACTTAATGGCTGATTGCGGGAATCGAAGTTGCCATTAGTAACAGGGTATTTGTTACGACACCACTTCCTCTGTTGTTAGGCTGCAGGGTGGTTACCGCACCGGCCAGATGCCTTCTTCAGCGAGGGCTCAGGATAGAACTTTCAATTCGCCAGCCACCAGTCAGGGGCTCCCAACAGGGGCAGAAGCGCCTGCTTACCTGCCGTTAGGTGGCACCTTAATTCAGCCATCTTAGACTAGGGAGTTGTTGTTTTATGGGGGGTTTCCCCCCCCCGAATGGGGCCAGGAAGCTTCAGCGTTTCCCAGAGGTTTTGATGACAGATTTTCTGCTTTGCCATTTTAGACCCCAGAGCTGCGTCGCCGGGGAACACGCGCACTTTAAGACAGGCAGTCGTGCACCTGGGTGTTGAGCCCCCACGCCTCTCCGAGCCAGCGAGGACCCTGGCCGGCGAGCCGCGCTGTCATTCCGGGTGGGAACCCGGCGCGGTTGGATCTGGGGAGGGAGACTGGGGGTGCCCCCGCCCCGAGAGAGTCACGGGAATGCGCTCAGGGGGCACGCGGTCTGAGCGTACGGCTTCCCGTCACGCCCAGATGCAGCGGGGTGCCGGTGCCCGGGATCTGGGTAGGAGGCGGCGGCCTGCGGGGTTAGGACGCAACGTGGCCGGGCAGGCACTTACGGGGAAGGGCGGGCCGTGCCCCACGGGCAGCCGTGCCCACCGGCCATCCTCCCACACGGAAGGACACCCCGCTGACTCGCCCGGTAGGTGGCCGGGGCTCAAGGGAAGGCCGAAGAGACGAAATGGCAGCCTTCCTTTGAGGCAGAGCAAAAAGGCCAGGGCCTCATGCACCCACCAGCCAGGTGACCTTGGACCTGACCTTGAAGAGCAGCAAAGCCCGCCCCCCAGCGAGGCCCGCGCGGACGGCAGCCGCCGGGCGGGCGGGGGGGCCCTTGCCCGCGCTGCTCCCCACCCGCCCCCGCAACCTACCTGAGGAGGACGGCGAGGAGGGGTGCGGGCTGTCCTCCTGGGCGCTCCCGGGCTGCGAGAGCCCGCCGCCGGCCCCGCTCTCCTCGGTGACGTTGGACGAGCCGGGCGTGGTGGAGCGGCTCACTGACTGGGACTCCTGGTCGCTGCCCGAGCCGCGCCGCTCCTCGAGGGCCCCCTGCAGCCCGTCCTCGTCGGGCCTGCGGTCCCGCTTGTGCACGCGGGAGTGCACGACCACCTGGTGGTAGGTGCGGAAGACGCGGCCGCAGTCGGGGCACTCCGTGGGCTTCTCCTTCATGGCGCCGGGGCCCTGCAGGTTGTAGTCCAGCGCCTGGCTGAGCCCGTGGGGCAGGAACTCCCGGCTGCCTTCTAACGGGTCCAGCTTCGCCGGCGGGTCCCTCTGGCCGGCCACCTTCGTGCCGTGGACCAGGTCCGCGGGCATTTTCTGCTTGGCGCCGTCTGCCCCCACGAACACGTACTCGCGCTTCTCCTTGTCGAACACGACCCCCACGTTCGCCAGCGCGTCCTCCTGGCCGCGCTGCAGCGGGCGCTCCTTGGACAGGAAGCCGTGCTCCATGGCCACGCCCCTGGCCATGAGCTGCCAGGCCTGGTAGCTGTTCACCGGGTCCATCTCGGCAGCCTTGGCCGCGGCCTGCAGCCGCTCGATGCAGCTGGACTTCAGCGGCGGCACCAGGCTGAGGCAGCCCAGGAGGGAGTGCTTGTCGCCCTCGGGGACGCCGTGGGCCACGCTGGCGATGGGGGACAGCAGCTTCCCCAGGACCTCCTTCTCCTTCGTGGGCAGCTCCCCCTTGCCGTAGAGCTGGCCGGGCTCGCTCAGGCCGGCCTTGTCGGGGGCCATGAAGCCGCCCTGCAGGCAGGACAGGTACCTGGAGTACAGGTTGGCGTGGGTCTCCTGCGACATGCCGCCCATCGGCGCCGGCCCCTCGGCGTCGCTGGGGGACTTGTTCTTCACCGACAGCTTGTTGAGGTGGACCTTCATGTGGTTCTTGAGGAACCAGGGCTCCTTGAAGCGGCGGCCGCAGATCTGGCAGCAGTGCTCGAAGGAGTCCTTGTGCTTGCGCATGTGGCCCTTGAGGAACCAGGCCTGGCTGAACACCTGCCCGCACACCTCGCAGCGGAACTCGTTGGCCGCCTGCTCGCCGCCGCCGCCGGGGCCCTGGCCCTGCGCCGACTCGGCGGTGATGTGCGCCTTCTCCACGTGGCTGATGAGCTCCTCCTCCTGGGAGGCCGCGAAGTCGCACAGCGTGCACTTGTAGGGCTTGTGCAGGATGCGGATGTGGCGGTCCAGCTCCTCGCGCTTCTTGAACTTGCCCTTGCAGAAGGTACAGCGGAAGCCGGCGGCGGGGGCCACTGCGTCGTCCTGCACGCCGCCGGCGGGCTTGGGCGAGGGTGCGGGGCGCGCAGCCTCGGGTGCGCCGGGCGCGGCCGGTGGCGCCAGGTGGCAGGCGGTGGGCGGCGCGGGCGGCGCGTGCGGCAGGGGCTTGAGGTCGGGCCGCGGCGGCGGCAGGCTGCTCCGCAGCTGCTTGTCGCGCAGGATGGCGCGCTCCTCCAGCTCGTGCAGCAGGCGGTTCTCCTCGCGCACGCGTCCCCGGCCCTTGCCCAGGTTCCCCAGCTTGTGGGTGCGCAGGTGGATCTTGAGGTTGCCCTTCTGCGCTGCCCGGTGGTCGCAGTAGGGGCACTTGAAGGGCTTCTCGCCCGTGTGAGTGCGCATGTGCAAGGACAGGATGCTGTTGAAGCGGAAGCGCTTGCCGCACAGCGGGCACGGGTACTTGCGGTTCTTGCGCGCGTCATCCTCGATGTCGCTCATCTGCGACATGATGCCCAGGTTCTGCCCGTTGAGGAACTGCTGCAGGTCGACGCGCCCGTTGAGGCTGGTGTCCACGTCGCGGCCCAGAGGGTTGGCCAGCAGTGCCATCGGGCTGCCCAGAGGCTGGCCGCTCAGGGGCACATGCGCCTTGTCGTCGAGGGCCGCGGGCGGCTTGTCCTCCGGGCTGGGCCGCGCATGCAGCTCTGGGAAGGCATGGCTGAGCTGGGAGGTGATCTGATGCAGCTTCTGACTCATGGCATACTGGCCGTTGAGGACCGGGCCGCTCAGGCGGGGCTCCGCGTCCGCCGCCCCCGAGGTCGCACCCAGGCACAGGCTGGCTTCTTCCATCCCTGCAAACGGAGAGAGAGTTCAGATCTGAGCCCGAAACAGGCGCCGCAGAGTGCCGGCTTGGCCTGGCGCGGCATCTGCATTTCCTGTCTTACCTACGCATCGCAATGCCAAGGAATTACAGTCGAAAACAATAATAAAAAAATGAATTATTAAATGCCAATTATGCAATATGGCTTTGGTCCTCCAATTTGTTTTGGCGATAGATCGTCTTCCTTGTATTTTCTATTTACTGACTGCAATTATTCATCCCCATTTAAATTATTAATGTTTTACCACTTTCCACACCTCATAACAAATCCGGGGTCTACGTGGTGAAGTCGTCCCGCTCCGGCCCCCCCCCACCCCGCCTGGTGGTGCGCACCTGTAGGCGCAGTGCAAAGTTGGTCTTGGACCGGAGCGCCTTTCACTGCGACGCCAAACACGCTCCCTTCCAACTTTTGTTTCTGGTCCCCACCTTCGATACATTTGCCACTCTGAGATGAAGGCGATTATTTTATGTTTCGGCCCCCAAAAAACCCCAATGGCATGATATTTACTGATACGTAATAAAACAAGATAATGTTTTGGGAAAAAATAAAGTAAAGGACAGGCTTTAGAACAATAAAAGGGATTTTGCTTTAGTCAACAAAAAGTGCAGTAATATCTCATTAAGCTGATTAGTATGCTGCTTAGAAACAGTACTAGGTGCTGTAACACATGATTATAATCATAAAAATCCTTCAGTGTTTGCAAGGAAGCATTAACGAGGTATATTAAATTTTAAGGAGACTGCGAGCAGCAGCTTTGCAAACCTCGGAGATTAAGATTTAACCCTTATGTTACGAAACACTGTTATTTTGTCATTTGGTAACTGTGCCCATCAACAGAAGTAGAAATTATCTCCGGACGGAATCCTAGCGGATTATCTCCAGGGCGCAGGCCCGGGCGGGGCTGAGGGCTCCCGCCCCTGGAGGGCTCTTCCCTGTCCATCAACGGGCCTGAGACCCAAGGCTGGGACTTTCACAGGGCTTAAAGAGGTCTCTTAAAGAACTAGATAAAGACCAATTAAAGTCCAGGGAAGATGCCGTAGGAAGTCTCCCCAAGTTTGAGTGTTTTTAATAACTTCCCCGATACACAGTAATGAGTACAAATGGTACCTGCAGAAGGCACTTGGCAGAAAATTAGAACTCAAAGCTGTTTGTTAAACACTAACACTCAGCGCTGGTCGGCGTAATTGTCTGTAATCGTCCTCGCTGTCCCCTCCAGCTGGTGGAGAACGGCGACGCCAGGCCACTCGGGGTGGGCACAGCGAGCCACCCCTCCGCGTCCGAGCACACGGGGAACTCAGCTCAGAAAGGCCCGGGCCCCGCGCTGGGGTCCTTCTCGTTCCGCAGCCGCCTTCCCCCGAGGGAGCCCAGGGCTGCCCCGCCTCTGGAACGACGCGGCACATCTGTCCTCCGCGCACACCGGCGTGCGGCCGACGGAGCCCGCCAGGCGGGCCAGGGGCAGCCCGTACGCGCAGCCAGGATGGACTCCTGGGCCAAGCAGCTCGCCAGGGGGACCTCGGGGACAACCTCTGTGTGGAGGACGCACGGACAGCACCGGAGGGGTCTGCGGCCCCCCGCGCTTCCCGCCAGGCAGGCTGGGTGTGGCGCGGGGCGTCTCCGACGGGGACCCGGCTCCCCGGCGAGAGCGTGGGGCTGGGGTCCGCGTGCTCGGGAGGCGAGAGGCAGGCACGGCGACTGTTTCTTTCCGGGGCGGAGAGAAAGCGCGATCGCGCTGCCGGCCACCGCGTCCACGGCCGACGGGGGGCAGGACAGCTGGCCACACTCACACACGCGGGCACACGGTCACCCGCCGGGTAAGAAGCCTCTGAGTGGCCATCTTTACTTTTCGTTTCTGGTGGCAGTCAGATTTAAAAGGCCCACTTTGGAGACCGGTCAGAAAGGAGTAATCCCTCATGGACAGTCCAGCGTTCTCTCCACAAGCTTCCTGGGCACGGGGCCCTGCCGCTGGCACCTGACGACGGGCTGGCCCGCCCCGGCGCCCACCGGCAAGCACAGGGGACGGGCCCAGGGGCGAGGCCCCCAGGCCAGACTCCGGCAGCCCCAGGACTGTGCCTGGAGCCCCTTCTCCACCTTCGAGCCCTTCCGGCCGGGCTGGCTCCTCTCCCAAGCAAACACAGGCCGTGACCCCAATGCCACAGGGGAGCTCCAAGGCCCACCGACAGCTCTGGGAAGCTCGGAGAGTCCAGCGCCAGCGAGGCTGGCCCCCTTCCAAAGGCTGCCCAGCTGGCCAGCTCAGAAGCCACGAATCCAGGAAGACGGGCTATTTTCAGGTTGCGGCTGATGCAGCGGGAGGGAGCGGAGGCAGAATGTGCAACCCCGCGAGCCTGCAGCTCCGGCTGGACCGGGCAGGCCGCCTCCTTCTTGGGGAAGGAGAAGCCATCGCAGCTGTGGACACAGGTGTGTGTGTGAGTGCACATGGCAGGTGCGTGTGTGGGTGCTGGTGCGCGCTGCATGGCAGCGTGTGCGCGCGGGCAGGTGCGCGTGGGCAGGTGCGTGTGCGCAGCCGGTCTGTGCTGGGGGCGGGGCACGGGGCCCCGCTGTCCTCGCTCTGGGGATGTGCACAAACGTGTCACTGCGAATCTAAGGGGGCGCCCGTCCCGCTGTGAGGGCCCAGACCCAGCCGCGGCCCTGGCAGCTCCGGGGGGGGGGGGGGCGCGGGGGCTGCCTGCAGGGCCCTCCCTCCGCTGGAAGGTGTCCTCCATCCCTTCTCCCGCCCCAGGGAGCAGGCGCAGGGACGCGTCTCCCCGCTGGGGCAACCCTGCTCCTTCCCGGGCCCTGCAGCGGAGGTCGACCCGTGTCCCGGCCGCCGGGCAGGCACGTGTGTCACAGGCAGCGCTGCCCACATGGTCCCCGGTACCTGGGGCGCCACGTGGCCTGCGCACAGCCCAGCCCTGGCTCGGGGCCGCTCACCCGAGGGCACGGCGGCTGGGACACCCACAGGAGGCGGCCGGGGACAGCGCAGGGCGGCCAAGGCCCTGGCCTCCGGGCAGCCCCAACGGGCCCTTCCGAGTTACCTGGGCAGCAACGCACCTGACCCTCCTACCAGGAGGGAGACCCCGCGCACAGCAGACAGCGAGCCAACCGACGACACATCGCGGAGGACAGCCCGCCCGGCGTCCGGCTCGCGGCCTCCGCCCCGGCGCAGCTGGGAGCAGCAGGGAGCCCCAGCTGGCCGAGCAGGCTCGGCCGACCCGCCAGGAAAGGCAGCCGGGCACCCGCACTGAAGCTGGCCGGCTAGAGGCCCTCGCGCTCTGTCCGGTCTGGACGCGCGCCCACACCCCCCACCCTCTGACCCTCCCTGGGGTCGTGGCGGAGCACCCGGGGCACCCAACACTACGTCCTGCTCTCCACACCGGCCAAGCGCCTGGCGGGGCCTGGCCCCCAGCCCCCAGGGCCTCCTCACTGCCGGGCGGGCACGTGGGGCCCCGTGGGATGCGTCAGGGGGTGCGGGGGCTGGGGGCTTCCTCTTCGAGCTCAGCGATCCCCCGTTCCCTGGGCGGGGGGCCCTCAGCCCATGCAGCCCAGCACGGGGCGCCCAGGTTACCCAAAGACACCCCGTGGCGGCGTCCCCTCGTGGGGGTGCCCCGCGCCACCCGCGGCCTTTGACGGCGCGGATGGTTTTCTTGATTCCGCCTTCAAGACTATTTCCTGTGATGCCCGTGACAAAAGTTTTCACTTAACTCTTCCAATGGAGAACCTAATTGTATCTCTCGCTCAGAATGAAATTTAAAACTATCAGGACACCAGAAATGCCAGCTGCTCCGAGTCTAAATAAATTCTACACAAAAACACAGTTTCATTTTGCTAGCACAGAAAAAAAAAAAGTAATCTTATGAATAGTCCAAAAAATATAGATCTCGCCAGTAAGAGTTTTATCCTTATACCATGAAAAAGAATAGTTGGGAAATAAAATGACTTTCAAAATAACCATTTCAACGGGATTTTTAAAAATCAAATATTGTTGTCTAGCCAAGCACAACTAAATATTCCCTTTTTCATCAGCGTGGGTGACGGGGCTGGCTCGGAGCCTGGCAGGGCCCACGGCGCCCGGGCGCGGGCGGGGGAGGGACGGCCCCCCCGGGCCCCAAAGGGGCCTCGGTCAAAATCCCTCCGCAGCGCGCCGTTCTGGCGGCCGGTCGGCCCCCTTCCTGGGGGCTCGAAGGACCCTTGGCCCTTCCGCACAACCAGTCCTTCTGCCTCACACTTGGGGTGAGCCGCGATGAAGACAACTTCTCCCAGAACACAATGGCTTCTCATTAAATGCTATTTTCCCCATTGTTGCCTCTCATGCCGCTTAACCAAGGTTGTTATAAGCACAATACAACCCTGTTCTGAAATACGGAGCACCAGACTCCTGAACCTTTTCAGGGTCATTAAACAGCTGTAAACATTATTACAAAAATAAACCGGAGATTTCATGCTTACATTTTGGCCCAGCTCTTGCTGTGCTAAGCAAGGACATTTTTTCATCTCTTAGAATCAGTGGTGACATTCGGGCACCCGCACAAATGGCACCGCAGACGTCCCCGAGGTGGGCAGGGGGCTGCGGGGTTTATTTGCTGGGTGATTAACAGATAAACGGGAGGGCGGCACGGTGACCTGTTCCGTTTTGACGGATGTGCGGACAACGAAATAGTTAAATCCTGGCCGAACGTACGAACGGAAGCAGGACGGTGCGCGTGGGCCGTGGGGCGGCGGTGGGACGAGGGGAGCCCGGGGGGCAGGGGGTCGAGCCCCCGAGCCGCCCCTCGGAAGGGCCGCTGGCTAAAGCCCAGGCCCGCGCGGCCTCGCGTGGCCCGCGGGCCGGGCCCCGCAGATGCTCCCATGGGGCCCCGGGCGGCGCCCTTGTCGACGAGGTTGGTGCGGGGGGCGGCGGGGGGAGGACTTGGAAGGAGAAAACAGAATCAAAAGCCCTTTCTCTTTGAAGACTTTGGATGATTTCCAAATTCCCG